AAACAGAGAGAGGCCGTCCGCCCTATCGCACTGTAAGAACAGCTGTAGGTCATCTACCCAGACCTCAAAGTCAATGGCCCGACCCTCAGCGTCAAAAGTGAGGACACTAGGGGTGGCCATGACAGCAGTAGACCAGCAGTGCAGGCAGTAAGGGGAAGAGCACGCAGTGACAGAGGGTCTGTGCTCACCGGACAGGGCTGCTCGGGCGGCTCGGCTGCAGGGCGGCTCGACGGCTGGGCGGCTCGGCGGCTGGGCGGTCGGCTGCACGGCGGCTCGGCTGGTGGGCGGCCGGGCGGCTCGGCTGCAGTGCGGCTCGGCGGCGGGGCGGCTCGGCTGCTCTGCTGCTGGGCGGCTCGGCTGCGCTGTTGCTGGGCGGCTCGGCCGCTGTAGAGAAGTGGCGGGGCCGCTGCAGAAAGGGCGGCGGGGCCGCTTGATAGGGCGGCGGGGCCGCTGCAGAGAAGCGGCGGGGCCGCTGCAGAAGGGCGGCGGGGCCGCTGGGTAGGGCGGCGGGGCCGCGAGGTAGAGTGGCGGGGCCGCGCGATGGGGCGGCGGGGCCGCGAGGAAGGGCGGCGGGGCCGCTAGGTAGGGCGGCGGGGCCGCGCGATGGGGCGGCGGGGCCGCGAGGAAGGGCGGCGGGGCCGCTAGGTAGGGCGGCGGGGCCGCGCAATGGGGCGGCGAGGCCGCAAGGAAGGGCGGCGGGGCCGCTAGGTAGGGCGGCGGGGCCGCGCGATGGGGCGGCGGGGCCGCGAGGAAGGGCGGCGGGGCCGCTAGGTAGGGCGGCGGGGCCGCGCGATGGGGCGGCGGGGCCGCGAGGAAGGGCGGCGGGGCCGCTAGGTAGGGCGGCGGGGCCGCGCGATGGGGCGGCGGGGCCGCGAGGAAGGGCGGCGGGGCCGCTAGGTAGGGCGGCGGGGCCGCGCAATGGGGCGGCGAGGCCGCAAGGAAGGGCGGCGGGGCCGCTAGGTAGGGCGGCGGGGCCGCGCGATGGGGCGGCGGGGCCGCGAGGAAGGGCGGCGGGGCCGCTAGGTAGGGCGGCGGGGCCGCGCGATGGGGCGGCGGGGCCGCAAGGAAGGGCGGCGGGGCCGCTAGGTAGGGCGGCGGGGCCGCGCGATGGGGCGGCGGGGCTGCGAGGAAGGGCCGCTAGGGCGGCTCGACGAAGTGAGGGCCCGGAGCGCGACTCGGGCTGAGCGCGCTTCGGGCAGGAAAAAAAAAAACTCGATGTGGTGGGCCCTAAGCACAGTTCCCAAGGGGGAACCTGCTCGATACCATGAGAAGATTTGAACAAGAATGTGTGAACTATGAAATGATGTGAGTACAAATATGAAACCCTAATTGGTTGTACCCCCTATGGGATACCCCACTATAGCCTACACAACAGCATAAGCTACAATGTTCTGACAGTTACCTTCGAACCCTGGGGGTAACGACGCGGTGATGGTCGTCGTTGACAGGCTGACGAAGATGGCACACTTCGCTGCGTGCAAAAAGTCGATCTCAGCCGAGGAGACCGCTCGTCTGTTCATCGCAGCCGTTGTTCGCCTGCACGGGATACCAGCAACGATTATCAGCGACAGGGACACGAAGTTTACCAGCAACTTCTGGAAAAACCTCTGGGAGCAGTTCGGGACCAGGCTACAGTTCAGTTCGTCGTACCACCCCGAGACCGACGGCCAAACGGAGCGGACGAATCAGACGATGGAGCAGTTGATTCGTGCCACGTGCGACGACCCCACGACTTGGGAACAGCAGCTGCCGCTGATCGAGTTCGCGTACAACAACGCCACGTCAGCGACGACGCAGCAGTCCCCCTTCTACCTGAACTACGGGCAAAATCCTACAGTGCCCATGACGCCGAGTCCGGACAATCCGACACCACGTGCACAACAATTCGCCGAAATTCTGCAAGCTGCCCGCACAGCTGCAGAAGCAATTAAAAAAGCAAATGTCATCGCTAAGCGCAACGCCGACCGCCACCGCCGACCCGTCACCTACCAGTCAGGGGATTACGTACTGCTCGACACGCAAAACCTGCGACTGCCCGACGTACCAAAACTGCGACCGCGCTACTGTGGCCCATTCCAAATCAGCCACATGATCACGCCAGTAACCGCGCACCTACTGTTACCGACCGACTGGTACATCAGCCCTTCGTTCCACGTCAGCTTGCTTCGCCCATACATCCCAACCACAAGCCAATTGCCTCGCCACCGCCCGCCATCCATGACTCGCCCTGCATCAGAGCCGATCATCGAGCCCGAAAAAATCCTGAGCCATCGGATTCGACACCCCACGGGAATCAGGAGGATTGAATTCCTCGTTCGCTGGAAGGACCGCACGCCAACTGAGGATAGCTGGGTGCCCCTGGCCAACATTGAAAACCACCCTGCCCTGCAAGTGTACCTGAGGAGCCGAGGATTCCGCGACATACACGCACTCGCGTAGCGGAGGGGGCTTCTTGAGGGGGGGGGTAGTGTAAGGAATTTTCTCGGCATTCCTTACGGAGCCCGACTACATCGCGTACAGCAACAGCCGTTGTTCGCCCGTTACTGCTAACGGAACTTCGCCGACTTCGCGCGCACTGTTTCACCAAACCTCGCACTGCTGGCCCGGCCGTGTCGGCCTACGCTTCGGGACTAGCCCGAGCCTCGCTACCAGCATAGCACTGGCTAGCTCGCACGCACCGCGTTACCGTTTGCATGCTTCGCATATAAATGTTCGCTCATGCCTTCGCTCACATCTTTGTACTCGTTTGGCACCTTAGTGCAATTCTCGCTACTTCGATTCATTGCACCCGTAACACATCCTGGCTTCATACTGGCAGGGAAGTCAGATTGTATATCCATACTGAAAAACGGTACACAAATGTAGCAGGCTTGAACCGCAACGCACCCATGGAATTAGAAAAACATACTTGATGAAACATTTTTCGACAAGAGTACAGAACATCTTGACCGTGCCTCATCAGCGTACTAGGCTCTGATCAGTTTGGCCAACCAGAGGGATAACTGAAGACTGCCCAATTTTAGCCACACTGACAAAGCATTTGCCCATTACACAACTTGTAGGTTAGAAGTAAATCCTTGCCCTGACCTGTCCAAAGTCCCTGACCTAAGACCACCAGCCCGTTTGCTCGCCACACCACACCACCCTTTCTATCTCTAGGCCAATGAGTCTGCTTCGGTGCTCCCTGACCTATATGTGAAGCAGCTCCGTCGTCGTCAACCTCGTATGGTGACGCACAGCCCTTTCTCTGATTGGTTCCCCTCGCATAATTGGCTCGGTCAGTGTCACAGTGATCGACCAGCGAAGCGTTGGCGACGAGGCACACGTGGGAAGAGTTCCTTGTCACAAGGGGGTTGATTCGGAATGCTGTAGGAACAAACCAGTCGTGAGCCCAAAAAAATCCGTTGTGCAAGGGAGTCACCCTACTGCCAGAGGACCTCCCGCGTGCAGCACTGTTTCCCCCCCTCTTCTTTCCCATGCAGCAGCACCGAGGAGCAGCCACCACACCACGTCAGGAATGGTCTTCCTGACTATAAGTGTAACCAGCGATGTCCCTCTCCGTTTGACAAAGCCAGACGAAGTTCCGTTCGCGAGCGGCAGAAGTTCTCCGTCAACTTTGACTGTCGCATGCGTAGCGCACACTGCTGCATTCCCCCTTGCACCACCCCTTTCTTTCTGCGGAATCCAGCAGGGTCCACGCACCATACACCCCGCCTCGCCTCTACCATGCGACACTGCGACGCTCAGACCAGCGCCAGTCCCCATCCGCTGGTCCCCAACATCCACGCCATCGCCCCCGAGCATGAGTCACTTGACGCCTCGCATGCGTCACTTTCGCCAATATGCGCTCGCTCACTCGCGAGTCGCATTCCATCTTCGCATGTGTGATCTCTCCAACCAAGCGAGCGAACCCCTTTATCCCCTTCCACTCCACTTCACCCCGTTCACCCCCATCCTCCCCATTCCTACCTCTGAGTTCTGCTTTCTGCCTTGGCCAGTTGTGTGTCCTATTCGCAAGGGAAGACCCAAGCCTACCATCCATTCCTCTCCCTCACCTCACCCTCCCTTCCGTCCACTTGTGCCAAGCTCTCCCTTCACTCCACCCTTCTTCAATCCCTCGTGAAGACATCTTTTCCACATTTTACACTGCGAACATTGCTGAAGCAAGAAACAAGTACTCGAGACAGACAAGCAACACTGCGTAACACCACGCCGCTATGGATGGAAGTGTGATCCACGAGCCCTACCCTTCTTTCTTCCTCATAGGTTCCGTGCCTTCCTCGACTTACAGCTACTATGCCTCTTTCTCCCGCTCCACCGACTTCACTGATCACAGAATGCCGCCTTGGACTGGCGGCATGTCACCTAACGTCCACCTCCAATTCCCTTCCGCCTACTGCACGTCCGCTCGACCCTTGAAGCCTGTTAACACCGCGGCTCCCGCTCCTGCATTCCCTTATCGCACGAACCGATTCTCGGCTACAAACTCCCCGCAGTGTCTCCACCGGAAAAGGCAATCGCGGGGTAGAGAGCGGCCGATACGTACCCGAAGCAAGGGAATTCGAGGATATCGCATTCCTGAAGGCAAATTTCCACGTTTAGGTGCTTCTTCTGGCAACTCCCGGGCTGCATGGTGGAATGACGCATCTCCGTCGTCCCAGCAGCAGCAGCAGTCGCCGCAGCAGCGGCGGCAACGATATGCCCGCGCGAGTGTGTCATCCCCCGCGCCTCTGATGCCGCGCTCTCCGCGCAACACCTCGTCGTTCATTATCCGCCAGCACGAATCCTTCAGCTCGCCTGCCCCCTGTGCCGCTACCTCCCCGTTGCTGCTTCAGCGTCCTGATGTTTTCGCTGCTGCATTCACGGGAGACTCCGCATCTCCGCGAGTAACAGCAGACGTCGCCGTGAGAACAGCAGCAGCAGCAGCGGCAGCGGCGGCAGGATCAGCAGAAGCATGTGCGACTGGCGAGCTTCCCTGCGACCACGGGAACAGCGAAGACATGCCCGGCTTAGCGCCGGACTTGGCGGGAATGGCGGACATGGCTCCCTTGCTAAGCGTCAATCCGTACGGCTCCATGAGCGGTTGCATTCGCCTCCGGACTCCCGAGCCCGTGCCGTACGATCACGAGGAAAGAAGCGAAGGCAACAGCCAAGGCATGCGCATTTTTCCCCGTGACGTGCCCCTTGTTTCTCGCGCTGAGTGCTCCGAGGGTGCTTCCTGCAGCGAGGACGCTCCCCGGGAGAGAGCCGCGCACAAGGAGGATCGCGTCGCTGTCGCCGGCTTCGACGTGCGATTCTTCGAGGTCGTCTGCGACATGCTCGTCTTGGCGCCTGCGTGCGACGCCGACGCGCCCGGGCGTGACGTTGTGGCGAGCCACGAAGCTGCCGCGTGTAATGATACGGCTGCTACTGCTGTCGCGTGCGCTGCCGATGGGAGCGATTCGATCCTGCGCGCGCGTATCGACGAGCAGGAGGCGCAGATGGCGCAGCTGGAGGAGGAGAATCACTCCCTACGAGACGTATGTGCCATGCACGCTTACCAACGCTGCACCGCCCCACACCCTCCTCTCTTCCACTCTTTCGACCCGCTCTCCTCTCCCCTTACCTCCCCCTCGCGCACTTTCGTGTTCCCCTTCCCTGCTGCTCATTATTTTTGTCATCCGCTCGTCCTTGCCTTTCTTTCTGTTGATAGGGCCTTCGCTTTCTCCTTTTTTTTGATCGACGCTGGGTTTGCTTTTTCCCTTATTCTTACCTGTCGTTATTCTCTCTCCCGTCTTTCGTCCACTTTTCCGTCCTCAGCGACTGGAGATGCGACAGGAGGAGCTTCGTCGCCTTCGCACGCGACTGCTGTCGCACAACAGCGCGGCCATCGAGGTAGAGGGCGAGACGGACGGCACCCAACGCGACGCGCAGCGAACCTCCGCTTCCACCGGCGATGTCGCCACCACTACCGCCGCCGCCGCCGCCGCCGCCGTAGCTACTACCGCAGCTGCTTCTCACTGCCGTTCCGCGTCACCTTCCCCCGCAAGAGCCGCTGTGCGTGCCGCCGTTACGGCAGCTGGCGAGTGCGATGCCTACGGCGACGGTTACATGTCTTCATCCTGAAGACGCGTCTCCCAAGCTCCCTCCTTCCTGTGCTTTACTCGTCAGCCTTGGTTTCCTATTCCGGTATACTGCAGCCGCGCCGCCCCGAGCCCCTGAAAACCGCCGCTGCGTTGCTCTTAGACCGCAGATTCACGGACGAACGCTGGCAGACGCAGACGCGTGGTGTTTGACTTTTCCCCGCTCTTGACACCCAGGGTGGGCGCGCTTTGCGTCTTGGCTCTTCACATCGGATTGCCGCTGCCTCTCGTAGCCTCTCGCCCCGTCCGCCTCGTGCCGCATCTGCCGCCTCCACCCGCCTTGTTTTCCCGCGTCGTGGCGAACGCGTCGCAGCGAGGAAGAGGTTTTGGTTCTTGTGACACGAGCGCGACGGATATCTAGCGGGGTGCATGGATGGGTTGCGCGTGCTCCCTCGATTGCGTTCCCTTGTGTCCGTCCTTGAAACCGCTATCAACTCGCTGCCGCGTCTACCTCTGCGTCGGTTTCTCGAATTGTGGCAGTGGGTTCCTCGATCGACCTCACCCCTCCGTTACACTTAAGCTTCGATCGCGCCATGCGTCCTCCGCCCTTCCACTCCGCCGTTCTCCGCCCACCACCCCCCTGTCTTCGCGTTTTCCATCACGTGCGCCAATCTTAACGCGAGCTCCAGTCCAGCTTGCTATGCACCTATGCGTCAACCTCCTCCTGCCCTCGCCCATGCTCACCTCCGGTACCTAAGCCTTCACGACCCGCAGCCGTCGATGCTCCCTGCGACTTGTTGCTGCTGCTGTTGCTGCGATCGCTTCTGCCGATTAATTTAAGCAACCAGGACTGCGTGCAGCAAGAAATGTTTCCAGCCACAGCTCCTTGCAGTCGAGTTCCGAAAATGCAAAGAAGGCAGACATCATCTCAATCATCCGGAGAGAAGCTGTTCTTTTTTTCTTCCACACATGTCTTCCAAGCTCCTGGAGACGGGGTCCTTATATGCCTCACCTGGTTTAGTCGGTTTATCTCGATGCAGCCGTCTTCAGGGACCTCGTGTGCCTGGTTATTAACTTATGGCATGCTCCTAAAGCCGTCGAGTCCAGGTTATACTCAGCGAGCTCCCTGCTTCTCATCACGATCCCTCGCATCATCGCCAGGCCACGTGGCCAGCTAGTTGCTCTCTGTCATAGGCCTCCTCGTTTATATGTAGGATCCTCCTCTCCCACCAGCCTGCACACACCGATGATGCACTCGTGCATGCATCACACTCCTGTACATACATCCTCTGCTGTCCTCCTAGCCGTCCAGTATCAACAACCCTCGCTCTTCCAACATCTTGTTGCTGGTTAGTACAGGGTAGCCGCCCGAAGGGCTGGTTACAGGCGCAACCATACTCCAGTTCTGTTGCCAACCAAATGGATAAGGAGTTGATCAGACAGCAGTCAGCAGGAGGCTGTTCTGGCGCTCAGTTGAGCATTTGTACATCCTTGTCCTGTAGGAAAGCTTCAGGTGACGTTCACCCTGTATATAAGCTCCTTGAATAACATTTCTCATTTGTCTGAAGGCCTCTTGTAATCATTTTCAGTAGTGTATGTTTTTTCCATATCTCATGGTATGCATCAGAGGCTGGAATTGTCTAGGTGGGTGCATAGTGTCTCCCCTCAGGTTATACCAGGGTTCTCAATTTTAGGTACGGTACTTGCTACTCCCGCACGAAGACACTATTCGTACATACAGTGCTCTCAACGTTATTTGTCATTCTCCACTCAAGCAATACACGGTAAGGTAACGTAAGCTTATTTGTTGTACTGGTATATTTACTCCTTAATTCACATGTCTGTAAGAATGTGCTGGATTAACATGATATTACTGATTCAATGCCTTTCCATTGTACGGTAAGAGAGGCGGCGCACTGTAGTCAGAATATACATTTCACATATTTGTTTCAATTCTACTGAGTCGTCAAACCCGAGGCGCGACTGGGTTCACTGCCAACATAAAAGCCTCATTCCACTAAAGTTCACGACTTGCCTCGCTGGGAGTGAACGGCCTGCTTGCTTCCTTCAAGGCTGATCCTCTTGGAATGGCGTCCTCCCAGCCATCTCAGGTTGTTCTCACCTCGGTAGCTCTTGTGTTCACGTAAGTTGTGACGCCCGATGCCCACTATTTGAAAACTACGTTGCTGTTTGAAGGTTTAATCGGCTAACAACACATCTTTTGTTGTCAGTCTCCTTTCGATTCCAGGAGTTCATTCACGCGGGTTCAGACGAGCTCTACAAGGGTCAGGCGCAACCCTTTATACCAAGGACGCAGGAGAGTATGATCACATTTCCATTCAAGGAAGCTATGTTTCCATTACGCTCGATCCTTCAGGAAGTAAGGAGCCGCGCATCTTACCGTGCAAAAGACACACGGTTTCAGCATTGTAACGCCACGTTTTTGTCCAGCTGGAAGAGCTAGAACCAATGACAAGTTCTACCCTGGAACATCGTTCTCTTCTCTGGTGAAGACACCAACTGGATCCGTCAGGTCAGTCTAACTGTCTAAACGGATGCCTCACCTGCTTGTGGCTCGTTCTGACACGTAATGCAGTGGTGTAGTTTCGTCGTTCTATGTCTCCACGTGGGAGGGGAGTACTGATCAAGATGAAATTGATTTCGAGTTTCTTGGCGACAACGGGAGAGTACAGACTAACTATTACGTTTCTGGGTAAGTACTCGAGCATTTGAGATTGATGTCCTTAACCCTGAAGTGACACATGCAATTTCGATCCAGCGTTGGCCATCATGAGCTCGTTGTTGATTTGGGCTTCGATGCATCTACTGACTACCACAATTACACTATATATTATGGACCACAAAAGCTTCAGTGAGTGTTCTTACCTTGTGCGTGATTTCACTCAACACCCATAGTTTTCGCTGACAAACATATGGTGATGCAGGTGGTTTATAGATGGCGTCGTCGTTCGTGAAGTAGCGAAGTCGGATGCGGATCCTTTTCCTTCTAAATCCGTGTTCGCGTATCTCAGCATATGGGACGCTTCTTCCATTATGGACGGTCAGTGGGCTGGCGTTAACACATGGCAGAGCTCTCCTTATACCTTTCAGTCTGCATCCACGTCCATCCAGTTGAGCAACTATCAGTGATAAAGATATTTAGACTCCGCGTTTTCCGCCAATACTTCGTTTCCCAGCTCCATTGTACTTTACTTATTTGCAAGCTAAGCACATAGACTACTAATTGGTATATTATTATGGGGCATGTTGATAGTTGACCTTCAAGACCCAAAAACCCGAAGGACTGTCACGGTTTGACGAGTGTTACGAGTGCAATTGAGTGAACGAACGAGAATTGCACTATCGAAGCAAGAGTACAATGAGCGAAGGCATGAGCGAAGAATATATAACGAAACTACAGTGGTAACGGTAATGGACTGTGGTTGTCGCGCGACGGGCCTGGGACTGAGGTTGGGAAAAAGTGTCGAAGCGGAGGCCCGGAGCGCGGGTTACCCGCCGAGCCGTGAGGTCGGGGTGCGATGTGCGAAGGTGGCGGGCAGATTGTCGATGCGAGGGTTGCGAGTGGTAACGGTGCTGACTGTGGTGCTACAGTGATGTACGCGTTGAGCAGGGATGCGAAGTAAGGAAAAGGAATTTTCCTTGCAACGAGAAACATGAGGTTGAACAAGCCAATACCGTAGCTTGCTTCAGATGAGTGGCACCTACGTTCAGCAAGGTTAGTTGTTCAAAAGTTTATCGTTCACTGGTCATTTTAGTGGCATGACCCCTCCTGACTGTATTGAAAGTGGCAAATAAAGACATGACAAGCCTGGCTTGAAAAAAAAGGGTGTAAACTGCGAACTGGAAACCAACATGCGGTTGGGAAGAACATGCAGTTCAAAGCACCACTAGAACTTAAAGCTTCACATCAGATCTGCTAAAACAATGGTGTCAGGAGCATAGTGGACAGCTGTCAGAGGAAGTAGTCAGGTGCCCGGCGAGTGACATCAGGTTCGCCTCGTCTTGGAGCAGGTTCAAACTGGTTCACGACAGGACATCAGAACGGCAAGTGTGGGAGTTAGCAAGCATGATAACAATAATAAGGGTTATGTTGCATTCAAAAGCACCATTCTTGACAAGTTATGGCAGACAAATGGCGCACCTGGATAAAAGTTTGACTCATGCTTTCATCGACTTCAAGGATTGCAGCAGTGTTGCCTGTAGAGAATGCATCAATGACATCAGAAACCCAGGAGATAAAAAACATACTAACACGCTAAAGCAAAAAGCATCTACAAAAACCAGACAGGTCCTGCAAGTCAGACTACTTACCACAGCGGTAGCAGTAGTTAGGTGCACTGAAGATTGTGACCACCTTTTGCTCCTGAAGTGCACAAAACGTATGTCAGAACGACATTACCAATAAATGACGAAAGATGCTAAATCGAGCTCAACTTACATGTGCCCAGTTGTACCCTTCCATCACCAGCTGGTGAGCACGTGCCACAAGGTTGAGTCCATTGTTCTGATTAAACTGTTCACTGATATCCTGTTATGTGAAGGAAAGAGATATTGAGAAAACAACAGGAGGAAAATATTGGTGAACATGTGACATCTGGAAAACAATAGGTCCATGAAAGCATGCATCCCATTCAACGTCCATTGCCTCTCATTGAAATTCGCATCCTTCAACCTCTAGATATCACCCAAAACCAAGCCCTTCCCTTTTCACACAACTCCTTCACCACCGCAGGCACACGTACCTGACCAAACGTGTAGCCAGCACCACGGGGGGAGATACCCCAGCCGCAGCGGTCGTCAGGGTCAGACCAGAGCAGGTCGCACATGGGCCCCTCATGCGGCACCTCCTGGATGCGGTCGAGCTGGCGCACATGGTCTAGAGAGTCTATGGAGGGGGAGAGACCGCCATGCAGACAGAAGATTTGCGACTCCACCTGGTTGGGGAGGGTTGGTTGAGAACAATGGGAAAGTGGGGTACAGATTGAGAGAGTTAAATTGGAAGGTATGTTGAGAAGGGGAGGAGCGCCCAGCCATCGTGCACCGAAATGCTTTCGCGCGCTAAACAGTACCTGGTTACCCAGGAAGAGAGTGTTGGGCAATAGAAGGCACTAAGTTTGGCATACAAACGAGGATAAGAGGATTGAAGGATAAGAGGATCTGGTCAAGGGCGACCAAAAGAACATAGGAAGAAGAAGAGACTTACAAGCGCTGTAAGGGGGAAGTAATCGAAGAGGTCTGTAAACATCTTCCACACATTGGCGCTGCCATACCTGACGCGAGTTTGAGGGGTGGGAGATAAATATGGTGTTCAAGTGAGAAAAGTAATACATCCATGTTGATCTTCCATGAGGAAAACGACAGGAACGGGAGGAAAGGGAAGGAATGAAAGAGAGGGAGGGT